GATCGCTTCGGTGGCGACCTCGCGAACCGCCTGGAGCCGCTGCTGCGGGTGTTGGAGGGGGTCCAAACCGCGGCGCGGCCCTCCGCGGGCTTCCTCGTTTCCCTCCGCCTCTGCCTGCACGACCTGCGGGTCGGGGGGTCGACGATGGCGATGACGCTGCGCACCGCCGCCGTCCTCGCGCGCGGCGGGTTCGTCGATTTGTTCAACACGAGCGTCGGGATGCCCGAGGCCGGGGTGCCGACGATGGCCGGATTCGTCCCGCAGGCCGCGTTCGCGCGCGCGAGTGGGGTCTTAAAAGAGTCGTTTCGCCAAAGCGATCCGCCGATTTCGATCCCGGTCGTCGCGACGCATCGGATCCACTCCTTGGCGGTCGCGGCGAAATTGGTCGAGGCGGGGGTGTGCGATCTCGTCGGCCTCGCGCGGCCCCTCCTCGCCGACGCCGGGTTCATCGCGAAGGCGCAAAGAGGCGAGGTCGATCGCATCATCCCCTGCATCGCATGTAACCACTGCGTGAATCGGCTGTACAAACACCAACGCGTCGGATGCGCGGTGAATCCGATCTCCGGATGGGAGCTCGAGCGAGGAAACGAGGGCGTGGGGGAAGGAAGCGACGGCGTGGAAGCGGGGAAACCCGGTGAGGAGAATCAAACGACCAACGGGCAAACGCGAAAGGAGCTCGTCGTGATGCGGCGAAAGGCGATCGCGGTGGTCGGGGCGGGGGCGGCGGGGGTTTCCTGCGCCCTCACCCTCGCCCGCCGAGGGCATGACGTCACCCTCTTCGAGCGCGCGCCCGTCATCGGCGGGCAGCTCCACCTCGCCAAGCAAGTCCCCGGCAAGGCCGCCTACAACGATATCCTCGTGTACTGGACAAAGGAACTCCAGAAATCGACGATTAACGTCCGACTCGAGACGGAGTTCACCCGCGAGGAGGTCGCGCGCAATCACAACTTCTTCCACGCCATCGTCCTCGCTAACGGGTCGATCCCGCGGCCGATCACCTCCCACGTCTTCCCGGGTGCCAGCGAAAGCGGCATCGTCGTGCCCTTCTCGAAAATTCTCGACGGGAGCGTCCGCGCGGGGCGGCGGGTCGCGATTCTCGGCAACGGCGCGATCTCCCACGACGTCGCGTCGTTTCTTCTCCACGATCCCCGCGTCGCACGGCGCGTGGAGCTGTTTCTGCACGAATGGGGCGTCAATCTTGAAGAGGGCACAATCCTCCCGCCGGATCATGCAAGAGATCGCGCACCACGAAATAATCGCGATGTGATTCTTTTTAATAAACCCGATAAGGACGCCGATCTCTCGTGGGGAACGGGGTGGGCGCAGAAGTTGTGGATTCGAAACCACGGCGGGACGATTTTGAATCACGCGTTGATTGAGATGATCGACCCGCACGGGATTCACATCTCTACCCTCCCGCCCGATAACCGGAAGTTTTATGTCGAATGCGATACGATCGTGTGGTGTAACGGGATGCTTCCGAACTTTTCCGTCGGAACGTGGATTTATGAATGGATGAAGGATGGCGCGCGGAAACGTGGGGAGATGATCGGGGATTTTAGCATCTACTCGGCAGGATCCTGTCGGGATAGCTATACGGGCGACGGCCACGGCGAGCAGGATCTAATGCAGGCTGTTCATGAGGGCTACGAAATCGGATCGAAGATTTAGAGTAAAAAAGATTGCTTGGACAAGAATGGTGGAAGAAATCCCATGTGATGGGTGGATGCTTGTGTAAATGGCATAGTCGGAGGAAGAGAGGAATAAGGAAATGAAAAAAGTAATGCGAATGAAGAGCTTTTGTGAGTTGTACGCGTCACATGAATATTTTGCTGTTGTCAAAACTTCTAGCGGAGAAGAGGCGATGTGGATTGAAGTATCATTACATTTTTTTTCCATTTTGTATCACCGTTTTCCCGCGCCAGTTCTACGCGGGATGCGTTTCCGTCCTATTTTCGCCTCCAGTGTTCTACAAATGCACACCAACAACTAAACGGTTTTTGAATCACCCTTGTTCTTCAATTTTCTTCTCCACCTTAGGAACGGATTTGCATCGATTATCGGTTTACAAGTATCAATAAGAAACGATATATTTATTATTCGAATTTTCTTATTTTTTTTTATCTCGGGCTATCTCATTAGTATTATTCAATAAGGTCAGATCGGCGATTGGCATACTATTTTTTTCTAGGCATCCATATCGTTATATCGACATCGTAATTGCGGTTTATTTAACTCGGATAAGTACAAAATTGAATCAAAATGTGCGGCATCTTCGGCTATATTAATTACAAAGTACCCATGACCGTTCGCCAAATCATCGACACCATGTTGTTGGGGCTTAAAAAGGTGGAATACCGCGGTTACGACAGCGCGGGTCTTTGCCTCGATCGCCTCTCCGCCTCTCCAAGTGAGCAGGGGAACGATAGGAATGCGAACAAAGAACCATTGGTGATTCGCAGCGTGGGGAATATCGATGCGCTGCGGGAGAAGGTCTTTGCGGATCCTGCCCTCTCCAAGGGGAATTTGGATGTTATTGTCGATCATCACGTCGGAATTGCCCACACGCGATGGGCGACGCATGGAGAGGTGTGCGAGAAGAACTGCCACCCCCAGCAAAGCAACGACGGTGCTTTTAGCGTCGTGCATAACGGGATGATGACGAACCACATGACGATCAAAAAGATGATTTTGAAAGAGAACGGCTACACGTTTAGCAGTAACACCGATACGGAGGTGATCGCGGTGCTTGCGGAGTACCTTTATACCAAAAAAGGCATTCACGACTTTGCGCAGCTGACCTTTCACCTCACCCATCTCATTGAAGGCGCTTACGCGTTGTTGATTCGGAGCACGCACTTTCCCGGTGAGCTCATGGCCTGCCGTCGAGGATCTCCCCTCGTGATCGGCATTCGAGAAGTAGCAGAAGACGGAAAGGTGAAGGAAAAGCGCTGGAGCTTTAACTCCGACGGTAAAAAATCCATGGAGATTTTCTTCGCCTCCGACAGCAACTCCTTCGCGGAGAGCACGCGGAATGTGGTGTATCTTGAGGATGGTGATATCGCGTATTACAAGGATGGCGTGATTAGCTTTTACAGCACAATGGAGATGAGTCAGTTCGCGAAGGAGGCCGAGGTTTCCCGCGTGATGCAGCAGCTCGATGTCGTGCTTGAGAACCTGACCAAAGGTCAATACCCCCATTTCATGCTCAAGGAGATCTACGAGCAGGCGGAGTCGACGGAGCGCTCGATGCGAGGGCGAGTGAACTTCGTTACCGGGCGGTTTTCCTTCGGTGGGTTTGACGAGCGCAACGTGCGGAGCGTGTTGGATTCGCAGCGAATCCTCCTGATCGCGTGCGGGACCTCCTTGCATAGCTGCATGGCGGTTCGTCCGCTGTTTGAGGAGTTGTTGCGGATCCCTGTGGGGTTGGAAAACGCGTCTGATTTTGTGGATCGCGCGCCGGTGATTCGGCGATACGACACCTGTGTGTTTATCTCGCAATCCGGCGAAACGGCGGATGTGTTGATGGCTCTGGAGGCCTGCCGTGCGGCCGGGGCCATTTGTGTGGGGATCACCAACGTCGTTGGATCCTCGGTGAGTCGTCTGACGGATTTTGGGGTTCATCTGAACGCGGGAATGGAGGTGGGGGTGGCCTCGACGAAGGCCTACACCTCCCAAGTGGTCGTTCTCACCCTTTTGGCGCTGCTGCTCTCCAAAGACTCCCTTCCTCTCCGAGAACGGCGGGAGGAAATCATCCAAGGGCTGTCGGAACTCCCCGCGAAGATCACGCAAACCCTCCAAGCCGTCGAGGCCCCGATCTCGGAGATCGCGACGCTTCTTAAGGACGAAACCTCGCTTCTTGTGCTCGGACGAGGGTACGACTGCGCGACCGCGATGGAAGCCGCGCTGAAGCTGAAAGAAACGACCTACATCCACACGGAAGGGATCAGCTTTGGCGAACTCAAGCACGGATCGCTCGCTCTGATCGATCGAAACAAGCGAATCCTCGCCATCTGCTCTAAGGATAAGTATTTCGAGAAGTGCAAGACAGCCATTCAACAGGTGAGCGCGCGCGAGGGGAGGATTTTGACGATCACGAATGCGGAAGACACCGAGCTCTCGGCGGCGTGTGAGAAGTTGATTTACGTTCCCATGATTGTGGATTGCTTGCAGGTAATTCTCAATGTGATCCCATTCCAGCTGTTATCGTACAAAATCGCGGTGCTTCGCGGAAATAATGTGGACTGCCCGAGGAACTTGGCGAAATGCGTGACCGTGCAATGAGGTTTGTCAGGTTCGATTGCAGTCATATGTTCTCAATGATTTATGTTCAGTAACTTTTCGCTCAATTAGTTTATAAATATGTTACTAATATAGTTTTAGAATTAATACTATGAAAGGTTTTGTTTTTTTATGAAAGCAGTTTCTTTCTTTTTTTACTTCTTATTTTAGTGAATGGAATCGCAAGACTCATTGGAGTATCTTGAAACTTTCTCAGTTTACCGAATGTTCAGCTGATCTATATTTGAATACTAAAAAAAACAACGATATCATTTATGATTAGGCGTCTGAATTCATTTAGTTCTGTTCTTTTTTTATTCCAAGCAGCGGTAACTCTCATATCATGTAGCGGCATCAACAGTAAAGACTCCGATCGACATCTAATTTTTCGGAGTGATTACAGGAAACATATTTAGCTCCTCTTTATGAGGGGAGTTTGGTTGATATGTAATGGATTGAAGAAGGGTAGCAATGCCTCAGATAGAACCCTGAAGTATTTTTTAACCCCTCTCTCATAAATAAAAATATTCATGAGGGGGGGGGTCGAGACTTTTCAGACCGTAAACCAATTAAAGGGAAGGGATTCATGCGGTTTGCCTTCTTCCTCAACTGTGGCTGGTATTGACATTTTGTGTAAGGTCGGCGTGTTTTGCCGATTGGAAGTATCGCAGAAGGTAGTTCTTCATCTGCTATGGATTTCACTTTTTAATTTTTGGAGTATTCTCAAACCACAGTCCAACGATATCCGCTCGTGTTTGTCAAAAAACGCACGCACTGGGGCTCCGATCGCGTGCATCTCTCTGCAAACTAACTGACAGGTGTCTACGGGCACGCAGTTTCATCGGTATTGCTGCTGTTTATCTTTTTAAGACGTAAAATGTCCCTATAAGATAATGCGCTATCTGAACGCTTCAACTTTTTCAAATAAGACATTAACAAACCTACACACTTTTCCCACTGTCCTAGTATGCTTATTCTGCGTGTATGTCTAAATGTAAAGGCATTTCGATAACCTTTGCTAAGGAAAACGATTACTATGCTCTTCATTTTGGTCTATACCTTTTTTCTCTTACATATTGAGGGAAGAGTCCCAATTGATAATTCATCTGTTAATCGATCTTATTCTCCGTTTTGAGGGGGTTTTGTAAAATAGAAAACTCGAATTTAGCTTGTCTCCTTCTCACCCCCCCTTTTCTTTCTTTCCGATTTTCCTTTACTACCCAAGCGATAGCCATTGGATCTTCCCACTATATGAAATAGAAATAATCTAACGAGGACGGGAAGCTAGATACGTACACATAAATCTCAACGGTATCTTTTTTTTCTTTGTATACTAGTCAACAACACATACACACATAAGAACAGCAATACGATCAAAACCCATACAATAGGAGAACCCATGCGATTTTTAGGTAGCAAACTCTTCGAGACGGAGAAGACCTACCGGCCGAAAAAGAAGCACAAAGAGGGCACCCAGCGCTACAACCTCCACAAGTACGCCAAAACCCTCGTCCGATCGGGCGACCTCGCAAAGTCCGTGCAGCTCCCCCCTGGGGCCGATATTCATCACTGGCTTTCCGCGCAAACGATCGACTTTTACAACATCACCAACGTCCTCTACGGCTCGTTAACAGAGTTTTGCACACAAACGACGTGTCCGATTATGTCTTCCGGCCCTCGTTTTGAATACATGTGGCGAGATCCGCCAGAATACCCCAAAGCGACGAAGGTGAGTGCCCCTAAATACGTTCGACTTCTCATGGAGTGGATCGAACGCCAGATCAACGACGAGAGGATCTTCCCGACGGAGGATCAAAACCCGTACTCGGAGGACTTCTTTGACCGCGTGCGAAATATCATTCGCCGGTTGTTTCGGGTCTACGCGCATGTGTACTACTCCCACTTTATTCAAATTCGCGACTTGAAGGAGGAATCGCACTTGAACACGGCGTTTAAGCACTTTATGTACTTTGTGTGGGAGTTCGACTTGATTCCTCGCGATGAACTCACCCCGTTGTATGATCTTCTAATCAATATAATAGGCCAGTGGGCAAAGGATAAGTTGGATGGACCTCGATTATTATAATGAGAAAGGTAAGATGACTGTGGGCGAGTTACGGCATGTTTCTGGAATTGACATCTTCCGGCTGTCATCACAGGCTTGTTGAAAAGGAGTCTTTGGGTATATGCTACAGATTTTTTGTTTTTAAAATTGCATCCTTTATTGTTTTAAATGAGTTGTAAGACGTGGAATGGGTATTTTAATTCTTTAAAATGACAATGTTACTAAATTGCAAAAGAGCACACATCTTTAGAATATTTTATCATTTTATTAATTTAATTGCAGAGTTATAGTGACATGCATTCTTTGGCATCGCCAGCCTTCGCTGAGTACCAAGATGCTTCCTTACCTTTGTAAATATATCAAGTGGAAGAGCGTCAATATTATTGATATTTCTATCAAATGTTTCTTTAATGCATCAGTATATTTTCAACACGCTTTTTAAGTTGCGTCTAACACACATTTATAAAAATTTGCAGCCATCTTGCCACAACTCGAACAAGTAGTCGAAAACGATGAGGTATGAAAATGTACAGGATCCAAGGGAATGCTTTTAGCATTGTTGAAGGTCCCTTTTCGTTATGTTCAGGCAGCTATCCACATATCTTTTTTTGTTGTTGAGTATGTCATTGTATGTTTAATATTTGTGCTTCTTCTTTTTTATCTCTATTATAGATACTGGAACCTTGTTCCTTCTGCTATTTCCGTATAAATATGGACCTATGTATAACCAATATTCCCGCATTTGTTACCTCTTTCACCCCTAATTGGATTCATTATATTCTATCTTTACTTTTTTGTTTCACAGTTCAAGGACGCGCATCCTATCATTGGTTCCTGTTGGCGTCATTGATTTAATTATATGCAGTAGGATTAAACCCCAAAAAACCTGCACTTGGTTTGATGTCAGAAATCCATCCTAATCAACACCGCATTTCCGCCGCTCGCGTCGATCAGTACGTTCGTCAGCTATGTCTTGATGAGTCCTCCGCAAAGAATGGGGCCCCTCGAACGGTGGAGTTTCTTTTGCAACGCGTCTTTTCAGATCTTTTTGGCGATAAACACGAGCCGATCCTTCCGGATTGCATGCCATTCGCGATCAAACAGGTCCCCGCGTTGGCGGAGGTGGCTTTACGACAGGCGCGCATCGCCACTCGCGTCTGCGCGGCCGTTTCAACCCGTCCGGTGGTCACCGTTTACGAACTTCAGGAGGAAATTTGCCTGGAAGAACGCGTGGCGAGTTTCCGCGAGCTCGGTTTTGGTGAAAGCCTCGGGAATATGCCAATAGTGCAGCAATATTTTAATCTGAAACCCAACTCGGTGATCTACCCCGTTCGGAGCCGTCATTTGATGGAGTTTATCCTATACCACCCAGAGTCGAGACGGATTTTGGATAGCTCGGGCGACACCCGAGATGTGATCAACAGTTTTAAATCGTACTACGAATCCAAGATCCTGCCTGCCTTGCGGGAAACCCACCCGGAGCTTTTTCGTAGTGGGCCCTTATCCCGCAAAGCTCGCACGCTGAGCAGCAATCGGGAGTTGGGAATTCACATCCAAAGCCTCCCGTGGCTGCTCATGAGCCTCCGTCAGGAGGCGGATGGCGCCGTGTTGCGTTTGTTTGAAAATATCTGCGAGGATGCCAAAGCACGAATTGACAAAAATAAAGAGTTTTACCTCGACGTCATCCGCGCGATGGATGAATCTCTCATGAGAAGAGGAGTTTCGGGGTCTGACGGCCTTCCACATACCTTTTCAGTGCAGATGTCGGAAACAAAAGCACGTCGAACCACCCTCCCCTCTACGCTCTGGAAAAGCTGTGAAACGGATGGAAGTGGAAACTTCGTGAGCGTCGGGGGGGTTTCAGTGGCGGTGCGTCTGGGCGATCCCGAGATCCCCCCTCCTGTGAGGGAAATTCAGCAGGACACCGTGGAAACGATTCAGACGACACCTCCCTCCACCGTCCCTCCTTCACGGCTGCGTCGGCGAATCATCAAAGAAGCCTCCACGACCCTTCTCGATGAGGGGGAGGGGGGGCGAGGGCTGCCTTTGCCCCCCTCTACATCCAACCCCGCCTTTTCACTCCCCTTCGCGATTAGCGGCGAAAAGGCCGTCGTGGATCCCCCCTCTCTCGCGATCTCGACGGTAGAAGAGCGATTAAAACGGATGCTCGCCGAGGCAGGCGAAGGAAGCCTTTCGGGTTGGGTGGAGCTCCTCCGTGGGATCCCGCCCGGTTCACGACTCCCGCGGGAGCTCTTTGTCGCCTGTTTTACGAGGCTCTTGCGGGAAGGAGGCGCATCTTCCGCGGAGGACTCCTCAGCTTTTTTTTCCACACCTTTCATCCCCCTCCTGCGGGAATGCGAGCCCTCCGGCGTCGTGGAGGTTCTCCTCCTGGCAACCCCGGCGGAGGTTTGCTGGGAGGCATCGAAGGACTCTGAGGGGGATGCCTCGGATGTGTTTTCCCCCTCCCCCGCTCTCTTTCACGCGTCCTTAGCGGGATTTTACGGGCCCTCGCTCAAATCGTTCTTCTGCGATCAGCTCGGGGTATCGGAAGGGCCGAATACCTTGTCGTGGTTTCTCTCCATGCGGGTGAATCACCGACGGTTTTCGCCGTGGGAGTTCGAACGCGAAGGGCTCCGCGCGCGTTCGCTGCGGATGCTCGCGCTATGCGTGAAGGAAGATTACGCGCGACGGGTGGCGAGATTCACCAAGGCGCCACGCTCTTCTTCGCTCTCCTTTTCCGCGGAGCATCCGCCGCCGCCGGTCGGGGCCCTCGCGCTCGATGAGCTTCTTTCGTCGCTCCCAGAGGCGGCGGCACGATCGGCGTGGGTGTTTCCCTTCCACGGCCTGTGGTGCCGTGGGATCGACGATTTATTCCTCGCCTCCCCTCGTCATTGGGGGGTTTCCGAGTTGTATGTAAAACCCATTCAGCCGTCCAACGCGCCCGGGCTCCGCGCGATTCCCGCGGAGGAGGAGCCCCACTTCGCCGTGGCGGCGTTGCTTCGGCGGTCTGGGGTGCGTCTTCTTGACGAACACCTCGTTCAACGGGTGAGTTTCGATACCCTCGCGTTATCGAACGACGCCGGTCGCCTTCATCGTTCCATCGCACTCATCGTTCCTTATCTTCAAACTTTTCTTTGCCGCCGCGATCGGGCGTGGTATGAGATGATCTACGACCGCCTTTCGGAACGGCTGCGATCCTTTCGAGTCGTTCTTGGGCGGCAGAGCGCCTTGTTGGAAGGGTTTTGGCATGAAAACGGCATCTTCTACGCCTCCTCGCGCGAACCTTTAAAACTTTGTTATCTCGCCGTGCACAACACGCTTTATGGGGAGGAAGGGGTCTACACCCCTCAGGTCCTCGCGAGCGCCGTGGTGGAGTTGTTTTTGCCACTCTTCACGACGGTAGGGTTTCGTGAGGAGCTGCGGGGTGTCGTGGAGTCTTTCCTCCTCGCACTCTCCGCCGTGGAGGGCGTTGGGAAGCTCGAGCAAGGGTACCGCCCAACGGATCGCCCTGAGGAAATTTCCCACAAAGAATGGGAAGAGGCACTGAAGGAAATAGCGTATAAACTCCAGCTTAAACCGTTTTGCGAGTACGTCGATACTGATCTCAGGATGGAAGGAGGGGAGGACCGTCGAACGGATGAATCCACCACGGGAAGCGCAACCTCACGGGATCCTAGACCTTCTTATTGGATTCCGTGGACGGTATCAGCGACTCCGCCTGAACGTTGTTATTCTACCTTTCCACCTGGTTGTGATGGGTTTTCGTTGCCGTCGCTTTCCTTTAATTCTCCTAACCGGCAGGCCGGGCGAGGTCCTCCCGCGCTTGGAAGTTCTTCGATTCGAGGAGGTCCTCCCATCCACTCCCGGATGTCAAGCTCGCCACAGTCGTTCATCTTTAATCGGAAACTTTCCGGCGCGAGGATCACGTGGGATGATGCGAGTTTCATGGCAGATATCACGTCTGGTGGGGTGCGACGTCGTCGTTTGGAAGCAGGGAGTGAGGCCGTCGAAAATGACGGGGAAAGCAACTCAACGAGAGCGAATCTAACTCGTCCTGGAGTGCATGAGGATTCCGACGACAGCGATGATGATCCGACGGAGGAAGAAGTCATCCGTTTTACGTATCCCTCACGAAAACGTGGCTTGGATACGACGCCATCGCATCTTATTTCCTCCTCCGCGTCCGGTGGACGAACCGCAGACGACGTGGACGCGTACGCCACCGCCGCGGAGCGGTTCGTTTTTCAAGCGCTGAAGGCCCAATACGAAGGCGTGAAGCCCCATGGAAAGACCACACCATCCGTGGAGGTGGTGTGGGTCAATGAGCATGGAGAAAGTGGGATGCCCTACGATATTGTGTTGTTAAATCGCGGCCAATCGTGTCGCGGGGGAGCGCATCATGCGGAGGATCGCCCGAAGCCAGTTGTCAAACCTGCCGTGGCGATCCCCTCGTCGAATAGCAGCCTGCGTAACTTCTACAACACCTCTCCTTCCACACGGCAAAACACGACGATGGGATTCTGTGCAAATGAAACGAATACCGGTAATTTTCACCAGCAATCTGGGAAGGAAAGCGCCATAAACCCTCACTCTCCAAATGAGTATGATGTTCTTGAATACATCGAGGTCAAGTCGACATCTTCTAATAATCGCACGGACTTTGAACTTTCACTGCGGGAGTTTATCCTGGCTGCGAAGCACGGTCCGGCGTTCAAAGTCTACCGTGTTTTCAAAGCTTCCACAAGCACACCGGGTCGGATGCATTTTAAGGTATACAGTGATTTAGTTAGACTTTGGATTACTGGGAAACTGACCATTTCAGGGAATATTCGTGTCTTACCAAGCTCATAAAGCGAAAAAATAAGACTGCCCCATCCGATTATACCACGTGTTCTATGATGTTTATTAAAGTTAAACCGACTTGAAACATCTCAGCTTAAACGGAATGGGTGAAACTCTCAGACAAAAGGCTGAAAGTCGCTTTTAAATCCAAAATAACACTAAAAACATCATGATCTGGTACATCATTTGATGGATTTAAACTGCTAAATGTATTGATTGTATCTTCTCCTTTTGATTGGTACAGATCCACTTTTGAAATAATGATTCCATATTTCCCCAATTCGTTCTTTTCAAAAAAAAAAAAATGATGAACAATTGTAGAAGTAATTCATATTTGTAATATTTTTTACTAGTAGGTTGCATCTCTGCTCCCTCTGGCGCTATAAAGAAATATTACTAAGCCTTTTTATTTATTACTTAGGTATAATCTAGTGCACTAACTTTGTAAAACAAAATTTTGCAAGGTCTAAGAAAATTATTTTATTTGGTATATTTCCTCATATTTTTACTTTCCTGTTGACATTCTTTTTTTTTGGCTTTTTAAGCGACTCGTGCATTTTTCTTTACTGGGGAGTATAGATATTTTTCTTCACGTGTTCGTATGTATGGGCTCCAACACGTCAAAGCAGAATCATAGCAAAAAGTCGGATCGCAGCTCAAAAAAAAATAAAAATGTTTTTGGTGCTGGTGTGCATGTTGGCCGTGACGGTAATGTAGACCTGACTGGTCGTAATATGAATTTTTTAGGAAACAAAATTGTTAACATGATTAACAATGACGAGCTTCACCGAACTGCGACCTCATTGACATTATCTCACAATAAACTCTATACTATTGGGAAGGAAATTTCTTTGTTGCCCAATATTAGAGAAATAAATTTGGAGGATAACAATTTCGAAAGACTGCCAAAGATTCTAAGTGTTTTACATAAGCTCTGGAAGCTTAATGCTAGCATGAATCCTCTGGATTCCTTTAGCGGTTTTGATGTGTTGCCAGCGCTAACTGAATTACGGTCACTTGTGCTGTGCAAGTGCAATCTCACTCGAGTCCCTACTCCTCTCTTTCAGTGTAAATTCCTGGAGGAGCTAGACCTTTCTGACAACCCCTCTATCAACCTCCCTGAAGGTCCTTTCGTGCTTTTGACGAAGTTGACGATGCTAAAAATAGCCAACTGCGGTCTGAAAGGGACACTTCTTCCCGAAAACATCAAAAACATTACAACTTTGTTGACTCTAGATATATCTGGTAATGAATTTAGTGACTTCGATGAAGACTTTTTTGGTGCAAATATCGCTAAAACACTCATGAGCTTACATTTGCGAAGTCTGGATCTTACGTCCATACCACAAGTTGTGGTGGTGCTTAGGAATTTGCAGTATTTAGACCTTGCATCGAATCCAATTACAACATTGGATGTGCTTGCCGGACGATTAGTTAGACGATTACCTACACCTGTAGGAATCAATCACACTTCTCGTGCCTCCGAAATTCCAATGGAGCATGAAAAGGTTTCTCCTTCCATGTTAATTCCACATCGCTTAGAGAATCAAGGCGCAAAAGAAGACTCCATTTTATCCTCCAGAGTAATCCATGTGGATGCAGTCGCGCGAAACTCCACTGAGAAGATTTCTGAAATCGAAAGAGATACTCGGTATGGGATGGATTCGGTTGAAGGGTACGACCGTGGTAGCATTAGTAGTCGCCTCAGTATGAGTAAGGTTAGCAAAGCGGGGATGATCGCGACCGTCAAGCGACCGATTTTGATCAAAAAGCTGTCGCTGCGTAATTGCGGCCTGCGTTCAGCACCGAAGTACTTTCACAAGCTCACAGAACTCGAAGAGTTGGATCTTTCTGAAAACTACCACCTGAATGATCCCAACATGACGCTTTTTTCACTTCAAAATTTAAGGGTATTGAACATCGTTGGATGCCCCTTCGCTGAAAACCGGAGCAAGTCCAAAAATGAATGGTTTGACATCGCAAAGCTTCAAAATCTTGAAGAAATTGAGTGGGAATTGTGGATGGGGAATCACAACCTGAGCCCATATCGTACTCGTATTCCTATCGAAATTTGTGGCTTACCGTTGAAGCGGATAAATCAAATTTCATTGCGTAGCGGTCTTTTCGTTGGGGAAACCATTGAGACAACAATAAATCTTCTTCGTGACGGGTACTTCAAGGTGGATCTTTCTGTGGACGACCAAATCGTTGATTCGTACATGGAAGCGATGCACATTTTCACGCGTGCTAGGGAGTTCTTTTTCCCAAAGGAAATTGTGCTTTCCCCGAAACTAGGTAGAATATCCAAGACGATAAGCGGTAGTGAACTTGGTCAATGCCACCTGCGCATAGCCCTTAGTCGGTACATATTCTTCTTGTCCATTCAGGCTGCCAACTACGACGCGGTATTTATTCCTCCGCTGGATGTCATGATTATTCATTACTCTCAGATCACTTTGAATCCGATGAAGTACCGCACCGACTGTGAGGCCATTGGAGGACGTATTCTGGATTGCAATTACCGCTCCTTTTTCAAGGAACTGCGCCGAAACCCAGAGACGGCGATGAAGGCAGTGGCGGCGAGCAAAATAATATGGAACCTAATGGTTCGCTCAGCGTATAAAGAGCTCACTTGGCTAATGTACGATTTTTGGTCTCGACGCATGCAAAATGCGTTTAATTCGCCGTTAACTTCCTCTCCGCAACGTCCTTCCGGGGCTCAATCCACGCCAGATTCAAACCCTGCCAACGATGCGGAGGATGAGGATATGACGCGGCTGTTATACCTTTATGAGAATCCCGTCAACCAAAGCAGTGAGGCGCTCCTAGCCGACTTCGATCAGCTTCGAAAAATAAACACGGCATCCGACCTCACCAAAATTATCGACTCCTCCATCACCTCGCACTTCTTTGACCAGAGCTCCACTGCCTTCTCGAAAACCATAGAGGATTTTTTCCAAAGCAACGATAACCTGATCGCGCACCAGTCTCTTTTTTCTCGACTTAGCTGGGATTGGACACGATACCTTAAGTATTTGGCCCTCTATGCCTATCGGATTTCCATGAGATCGACGGACCTTTTAACACCGAAGGCGGAGATATCTACCGAGATAAATGGCAATTCCTTCCTTTCCATACGCCCTGAGAAGAGTTCATCCATCATGGGGCCGCACTACGATACGCTTCAAAATGTCAGCTTTTCGAATCCGGACAAGTATTTGCCCATACCCCCGCAACAAACCCGTATCAATAGTATGTGTATTTCTTTAACGCATCCCAACTCCTCCATGTACCCAAAGCACCAACATCAAGGGCTGCCGTTGGGCATTCAGTCTGCAATGAAGCGTTTTAAGGTGAATCCGGTCCCTACGATCGCCATTGCGTTATTGTTGTACGCCCACCGAACGTCCCATAATCGCTACTTTCAAACACTATCACTTTTGGGTATCGAGAACATCGATATCACATGGGAAGAGAGCGAGGCTAATATTGAACAAACTAAAGCCGCCTGGAAGGCGCTCTACGAGGAGGTCTACGTGACTGAAATCCATGACTTTGGTTATGAAGGCAATCGGGAAAACTTGGCCTGCTTTTCTAGCAAAGGGAGCTCGGTAAAACCCTTAGATATGCGTGAGCTCAACGCCGCTAATTCTGCTCATGCCTCAGCACTTCTAAAGGAATCACCTCATAACAATGAGCATTCCCCTTTCCCCTTAACAAAGCAAGAAATGACAGAAATGAGCTTCTACTCCCCACATGTCAAACCATCAAACTCCATCTTAGTGAAGCGCACTAGTAAAAAGACGACACCGAGAAATAAGAGGGTTCTATTTTGTACAGGGTTTGAATTTTAAAACACATATAGACTGAATGAATAAAACAGTATATATAATGTATATAACTCGTCATTTTTATCTATAGTCTGCTATTGTGTCTAAAGGCTTCAAGAATTCCAAAAAAAGATACCATATGGTTTTGTAATTCATGTAAATGTGTTCTTTCAAGCTTTATGGTCAACATGGGAATTCAAGATGGATATATATATATATATACACGATCCATGACATGTGGCTTTTTAAATGAACGAGTATAGGTTTTGTGTGTATGCAAAAATAATAGTTGAATACATTCGTATATCAATCTATATATATTCATATATATAAATCTCAATTTGGTGAGCTAAATACATGAGTAACCGTTTGGGTTTCTCCTTTTTCAAAAATTTCTCGTAAAGTCCAGTCTTTGTGGTATGTTGCTTGATAAAAAATGCATAAATGCGCTTTTATATATACACTATAGTGTGGTTATACCTTGCCAGTCGTTCACGAAACTTGCATTCGTAGGAATATCTTCTTGACCTGAGAGTGAGACCTCTTTCATAGAAAAAGAAGCTCAATAACGACAAAACAATTAATTTTATTTTATGATATTGAGTACTTTTATTGCAATCCCTTTTACGATTCTTTATATTGTTCTCCACTTTTGGTTGTGTTGCGCCTATTTATCACTAAATAAATCTTATCAGCTTAATTCCAAAAACTTACTTGATTAAAAATAGCTCTTTTAGATTGTACTAATTGCTATGTGCGTGGGATTCTGTGTCCTTTGAGAGATTCAATGTTGTAATGTGACGTTTAGATGTGATTAGGGGGTTGAGTGGCTTCTTCCTACGTCCTTTACTTTGAGTACATGCTCTTTGTTTTATGCCATGTAAATAGGTTTGCATGTTTTTCCCCGGCCTCGAACGTGTTCTTGGCCTCTATGGCTCCTATGCTTTCCTTATGGTTCTCCCCTCCTGGCACTTCCACCACCTTGCCTTTCTTCCAAACCTTTTCCACTTATCTGGTTGGTGGTTTAGCTTTGCACAACGAAAAAGGACCCAGTCTAGTATATATATATATATATATATATCCCCATTTTACTAGCGAAAAACCAGTTATTATAGTAATCCCCAATTAGCGTCACCAAGGAATACGTCTCGATTCCTCTAAACAAACGCCTATAACTAACCTATCCGATATATTTCTATCTATCTATCTATTTATTGTTATCTATATGTGGATGGATGTCGCAGCTAAAGCCTCCTAAAGTGTCCGCCTGCGGTGTCCTTTCGGCCCCCCGTGGGGCTCCTCTCAAGTCCACCCGCCCTACCACGGCGAAAAAAACCCCTTCCAAGGCCTCCACGTCCCCTGCGCCCCCCCGGCCGTTTCCCTCGCCCCCACCCTCCGCGACACCCCCCGGTGCGACGGCGGGAAGGCGAAGAGCCCCGCCGCCTCGGCGC